GTTCGACACTTGACTCGTAAATGCCAATCGGGGCTCGTGATAGCACATTGCAGGAGTTAGTTTTACTTTGGAGGGTTCTCTGAGGACGATAGGGCACCCCGCGGCCCCATGCGAGCCCCGAGGATAGCATGCCCCCCTGGAAGCAAGTATACCCATACATGTGAGAAGGATACTTGTAGACGTGTGGCTTGCACGCTTCAACACCATGCTGAAATTCCACGGTGTGCATGAGGAGTGATTGTTGCAGCTCTCTGACCGGCCCTGCGCTACACTTACGAGTGGGATTCGGGAGAGGTAGTTGGCCAGAGACAGTGGGTAGAGAGCCCAGCCGTGAGTGCACGCCCAAGCCAAACTGCAGCAGTTCGCCTGGGGTCGTGGGATGTGTTCCCATGATTCAGGAGGGAAAAAACACAGACACAAGTAATCGTCGATTCCCAGGAGATATGGGCAAACATGGGGAATCTGGTTATTTGTGTGTATTTATTTGTGTGTCTCGAAAGTTGGGCGAGGGCTGCTAAAACCGTGGCTGCTAAAACGGCCCTCCCCGAAGGAAAAAACTACTTCCCGCAAAGAGGCGCGGCACGCGAAACAGTCAACGGGCTTCTTCCCAGAAGGACGAAGACAACATCCTGGAGGTCGATTTTAGCAGCCACGGATTTAGCAGCCCTTGCCCGGCTTCCGAATGTCCCAGTTTCCTTTCAATGATGCGGCACACTGCCGAAACAATCGTGACGCCTTCAGGGAGAGGCTGTGCGCACCCCCTCTTCTGCCCGTCCCCCTCCCCCCTCCTCAAGCATCCAGACCCTTTATCGGCTCTTGTTCTGCATGCGCGTTTCCACGCCCTGGTCTGCCGTTCCGACGGAGCTGAGCGTTCGCCAGCGCCGCGACAGGGCAGGTGTTGTACTGCTGGTGGCAGGTCCCCAGCTGGCGCGCACTGGTGCAGGCAGGGGCCAGCGCTCCAGAGGCGCCGCTGCCTCTCCTGCTGAGGGAGGCTGCGGGCATCGGCCTCCCGCCCTGCGGCCGACCAGGAGGCAGGAACCAGGAACGACGCAAACGACGCAGGCGCACGTGAGTTCACAGGAGTTCCGAGAGAACGCATGAGTCGAGCGCTCGTGACATGACAGCGGGGCCGTCCGAACTGGGGAGCATCTGCTGCTTTCCGTGGCTTGGCGCGCACGAGTTGACTTTTGCCCAAGGCATCCATCCCCCTTGTTCGATTGCTGCCATTAAACTGCGGCCTGTGGCCCTTAGCTGTCTTGGCTTTTGCCGCGCTCAGGTGGACTACATCTACCAGGCCGCGGAGGAGCAGAAGAGGCTGGGTCAGGGGACCCCAGGGCCAGGGGAACCTAGGGCAATGGAAAGAAATGTTGTTTCGGTTCAGGCATGGAGGGAACAGTTCGCAACTTGCCTTTTTTTTCGTTTCGCCGACAAAACGGTGGCGAGTCGTTGCGTGATTGTTGTGAATTGCGTATTGCTGCATGGCGGTTTTCTTGTCGCTGTTGTGGGGGTGCAGGGAACGCCATAGGTGTACGATTCCCGGGACAAGCCGATCAAAACCACGTGGGCGGGCGCAGTGAGTTCAGGAGGAGGCAGACGAGGAGGAGCAGAATATTCAAGAAGGTGAGGTAAGGACTGGGCTCGTTTCGATTCTCCCGATTCGATTCGATTTGATTCCACTGGCTTCCAATTCCGATTTGACTGTGGGATTCCGATGTGTGCTCCGATTTCACAATGGAGGCCTACTGGCTTGCCGATGTCCACCGGTTCGACTTTTCCCGACTTGGCTGCCGGTTTCCACCGATCCGATTCCTTTCGATCGCCCATCCGTTTTGTTTGTCGATTCTTCGGGATGCAGCGACAAGAGTCGTGGCTGTTTGTTCGGGGGCCCGACGGCAAGAACGCACGGATCATCCGGTGGCCCATGGCGTTCCGAGGTTTCCGCGACACGAACGCGCGGCGCCCTGGAGACGTTCGCGGGGACAGCCAGACGCGCCTCACAGCGCATGTTGTCCTCGGAGGCGGCGCGCCGCCTGGATTGGGTCTGCGTCGCCGTGGACGTCGAAAAAACATGCACGCAGGGCATGACGTATGCCGATGATGCAAGAACAAAGGTGAAGCACCACTCGAGGTGAATTTCACCCTGCCGCCCGGCAGCGCAGCTAGATCAGGCAGGCGCCTGGCTATGAGTCCTTCGACGAGAGGACCGAGTGCCTGCACTGCATCAAGCCGGGCACGGGCTGCCAGGACGCATCCCGAGCCCTCTCTGTGGAATTCGCCCGGATCACGCGCTCAACAGTGTGCAACACCGAACCAACCAGGTGGGACCCGGAGCCCGAGGTCAGACTTGAACGTATGTTGTGTTTATGTTGTCCAAGCGCATTGATGATTTGAAGATCGCTGGACAAAAAGCAGCACGTCGACAAGCTCATCGGCCTTGTCGACAGCGTCCTCGGCAAAGTGAGGGGGCCTGCGACGACGTCGCAGCGCTGACGGCGCCGTGACGCTCGACCAGGACGAGTACATCGACGCCCGGATTCCGATCAGGCGAGTCAACCTGGTAGGGGCCTACGAATCCGCGGGAGGTCTACTACGTTTCATTGCTGGGCGCACTTGCCTACGCCCTGCTCACCCAGCACCACGTCGCGGCGTGCGCTGTGGCGCTGCAGCGAGCCAAGAACAAACTGCTTGTACGACACGTCCTGCAGCTCAATTATGTGGTCCTCGCCATGCAGAAAATCAAGACGCGCATTGCCTTTCCTGCCATGGATTGCGCTGGCCAGATTTGCGTGCACAGCGACGGGTCCATCAAGAGGGAGGAGGAGACGGGGGGCGGCATGAGGGATGCCGTCTATACGCGCCTCGGCACGTGCCGCAGTACCGGCAAGGACATCCGCCATTCGCTCGATGCCGTGAGCCGCCCACAAAGTTGCGTGTATGTCTTCATTCGTTTCCGGCTTTTTCGCAGCGCGCGGCGCAGCTGATGGGCTGCAGGCCTGTGTCCTCGCGCTCGACGAGATGATCGGGGGCCCACTCTCATGCGAGGAGATCTGGAAGATGAGGGGGGAGGGAGGCAATACCATACCACTAACCCTGGTCATAGACGGGCTGTCCGTCTTCGCTGCCATTGTAATGGATCTTGTGCGTTCACTTTCAGAGCGCAGCGTGGCAGGCCACTTGCGTTTGCTCTCCGATCGGCCCCGCGCCAACAAGATCGCCGACACGCTTTGGCGCGATGCCCGTGATATGAGGGCCGACCCCATGACGAAAGGGAGTATCGGCCAGTAACTTACCTTGAACGTGATGCGCGGGAGGGTCATGTACGACCGTGCCACGACCAGGCAGCGACGAGAGGTGCAAGAGGACCGCCCCAAGCTCCCGCCACAGCGAACCCAGGACGGATGAAGGAAGCGTTTCGCCGACGGAATGAACAGCCGGAAATTCCACTACATCTTACCGCTGCGCAAGCTGTCGCTGTTTGGTCCGCGGCATCAGCAGTCACTTCTCGACCGCCGACTCGGCCGTCACTTCCTGGTCCGCCGCATCAGCTGTGACTTCTCGGCTGCAGAGCGTAATATCAGCGGTCGTATGTCCCGAACTTTGTTCGCGAATGCGACATGGGGGAGAGGCAGAGACAGCCGCATAGCGTGAACGATGTTCGCGAATGCGACGTAGCAGAAAACATGAGATAACGCCCGCAAGAGGCGAATTATGATCGCATGTGCGACTTAGTGGGTCAAGCACTGAGGGGTTGTTTCTATGAGCTGCGTCCGTGGGACGGCTCTCAGATTTCTGGCGTGCATCACGTTGATCGTCTTGTTGCTCTCTCCTCCAAGTGTCTGCTCTCCCCGTTCCTCCCGTCTTTTGTCTGAATGCCCTGGTTAATAGAGCGCCCCTGCTTAGACTTGGCTCCCATCGCGGGATGCGTATCCCTGCTTCGGCTTGCTCTAGGAGCTCTGCCTGGAGTAGTTGTCGCCCCTTCCTCGTGTGCCGTAAAATCGGATTCACAGGTTTGGCACCTTGGGGGCCAGTGCCTGGGGGCGACGCGAACTCCGGTAACTCCGAGAGCGTACCGAAATCAGAGTTCCCCATCCCGTTGCAACTTTTCATGAGGCCTGCTGCAACCGACGGGGCACAAACTGACTTGTTTGAGCACCGGACTTGAACCGTAGCCTCTCTGTCACTTTTCGGTCCGCCTTCCTGCCAGCCGCCTGCTTTAATGTTGTCTTCTTTCCACCCTTTGTTTGGCCCACGGGCACGGCAGGATGGCCACTCTCTGCTCCCCTGTTAGATGCGCCTTAGATCCGTGTCCATTGCCTGTTCGCTCGGGCAAGAGAAACTTTTCACCTTGCAATCCGTTTTCACAATCTCACTACGTAGCAGGGCACAATATGAGGAGTGTAGAGGACGACAAGGAAAGGCGAGAAGGGGGCGGATATTGCAATGGCGATGATGATGGTGATCATGATGAAAAGGAGGAGGGGGAGGAGGAACACCCACCATGACAATATGAAGGTACCTCTTTGTACAGCGTGAGACGTGTCGTTTCGCCCGGTAGGCATGCCGAACGCTCGGGTCTACGACTATGTCGCCGTAGTGTTGCGTCGCTGACTTGGACAAGCGCGTAGACAGCCACACTTTTGCCAACTCTACGACTACCGCGCTCTGTGACATGCGTGACATAATCACAGTACAGTTACACTCGGGCCGCTATCGAAAGAACGCGCTTTCGTTGTGGAGGGGCTCAGTGTTCCTCCATGGTTATACAGTTTGTCTTAGCTGTTCCTCAGGTCTTCTTTCGGAAGCTGAAGTGTAACGTTTTGGAAACATCCGGCTTAGTTCCTTATTGCGAAGGTATTACGGCCGGCGCCGCCGACCCTGTATGGCGACGAATACGACGGCGACGGCGACGGCGACGGCGACGACGACGACGGCGACGGGTGTAGTTTCGGGGTATATTGTGGACGTATTGGGGGCATGGTGGGAGGCTCCTGAAGGCGTTTCGCGGCTTGTAATGGGCCTCGTGAGGGTTTCTAGGGGCTCTTTGGGCCGTCGTGGGACCTTTTTGTGCCGTTTTGGGGCGATGTTTGGGGCGCGTCGGGCCGTTTTGGATCGTCGGAAAACCAAACATGTGGAAACGAAGCAATCTTTGAAAAACCAAGGGGGAATCATTGAATTTGGCCTCTTGGGGCCCTCTTGGGACGCTTCTTGGGGCGCTCTTGGGCCGACTTGTGGTCTTGTTGTTCCGTCCTGGGCCCAGTCTTGGAAAACTCTTCGGCCGTCTGGAGGCTATTTTGGCGTCCTCGAGCGAGGGTCCGGCGATTCGAGGCCCTCTTGGACTGTCTTGGGGTCTCATGGCTGTGCTGGGCCCTTTCTCGGCCCCGGGACCCCCCCAGGGGGATAGCAATCTGACCCGGGGCAGGACCCCCCCCCCAGAACCACCTCCCGGGACCTTCCCCCGCAGAACCCCACCCCAGCCCCGGCGGGGCGAGGGTAGGGAGGGGCTTTGCCACGATTGCTGCGGTGTTCGATTTCCTTTTGTTTCGGGCGGCGACGACGACGATGGCGACAGCGACGGCGACGGCGACGGCGACGACGACGACGGCGCGACGACAACGACGACGACGACGATGACGACGAAAACGACGACGACGATGACCACAAAGACAACGACTGAAACGGAACAGACTCTTCCTCACGCCGACAGTGTCGGCGGATTTAGGGTCTTTTTTGACAGCGTTTCGATCATCTACTTACCGTGTAGAGTGGGACCGCTCTCGCCATGACTGCCTGACTGGAGCGCGACGGCACGGCAAAGGCTGTACTGGACATTGGCCCACCTTCGCGCAGTGGCTGCTGCAGGATAAGGCAGAGGGACAGGAAGGAGAGTGATGAAGATTGGAGAGGAGGACACGGGTACCCGTACCTTTTCCCTTCCCACATGTTCCCCTTTTTAAGCCTCCTGGGCTGCACTCGTCGGCACCGCTGTATTCGCTTTGAAATCCTTGTCAGAACGCTCTCCGGGAGAGGTCGGGGGAATAGCAGTATCGGTATTTTTTCTTGGCTTCCCCAGAAGAGGGCGTTGGAGGCAACTGATGCTGCAGATCGACCAGCAGGCGAAGGCGCAGGAGCTGCAGCTCTCTCAGCAGTACGGGCAACAGGCAGCTCCCGCACCCTGCCGATGCCCTTCTCCCGCGCGTGGAGAAGAGTGAGGGGACGAGGGAGAGACGAGGAAGAGGAAGGGAGTGGGGTGAGGAAAGGCGCGGTGAGCATGTGCAGCCAAGGACGGGGGCGGGGGAAGATGAGAGTGGGAAGGGCGGGGGGTGGGGGGGGGAGAGATGGGGGCAGAAGGGGGAGGGGGCGGGGAGGTTGCGGGGTGCGGGTCGGGGACTGAAGAGGCATGACTCCCAGACCCCCGACGTCATGATTCTGTTCACAACGTCGGACCCCAGAGGTCTGGACCCATTCCCTGGGACCGGTTTTTCACTCTTAATAGTTGTTTGACGGCCCCGAGGGCCAGTAAGGGCCCCCAGAGACCGAACACATGGAGCAACCTCCCGTCGCGATTTTTTTTCACGACGCGAGGGGGTCTTGATTGGGAGCGGTGGTATGGGAAGGCCTCAGCCGCTTGACAGCGAAGAGGCGGATGCCATTCGGCTCCCCCTCCCGCCCGCGTGCGCAGGTCATGAGCCTGCAGCAGGAGTTCCAGCACCAGAAGCTCTTGCTGGAAAAGCAGGCCGCGGCTTCCCGTCCACGCCAGTTCCCTCCCCTCCTCCCCCCTTAGGCCTCCCACATGGGATCGGAGCAGATGGGGTCGCAGGATCGCGCCGAATCGCCTTTGCATCGCCGATGCGGCTCCGTGTGGAGCCCGATTTGCTTTACGTCGACGTTGCCGATGCATCGCCCACGTCGACGATGCATCGCCGGAGCATCGCCGATGCGTCGCCGATGCATCGCCGATGCATCGCCAATGCATTGGCGATGCGGCGCGATCCTCCGACCCAACCTACCTGGACCCCATCTGGGAGGCCTCTATCCCCCCCATTCTTCCTCTCATCCTCCTCATGCCCTCTCTCGCCTCCTCCCTTCATTCTCCGCGCTCGCCACGGTTCTCGCCTGATCGAGAATCAGGCCCCAGCCGCGCTAGTCCGCAACCACCCCGAAGCAGGCATGCAAGAAGCGCATTCAGGATCAGCTAGCAGCGACGAAGGAGCGCTCGCGCATTATTGAACGCCGACCTGCACACCGACGGCACGGTGCACCGCACGGCGCGCGCTTGCGACGCTGTGCGTCATGCCTGCCGCTGATGTGTCTTGCTCCCCGCCCCGGCAGTCGATCGATGCCGCTCGCGGTCGCGGCTGCAGCCGCCGCCGCCGCCGCGGCGGCGTCGGCGCCCGCGGCGGCGGCGGCGGCGACGGTCCAGGCGAGCGAGCTGGCGATGGAGTACCAGATGCGGAAGTCGCACGAGGAGATGCTGGAGCAGCAGCCAAGGGCTCGGCGTGTCTCTGCCGCGGCCGCGTCCGGGCCGGGCCGCGGGAGGCGGAGGAGGAGGGCGCGGCGGGCGGGGGGAATGGGAATCATGGGACAAGGAGTTGCCGCGTCTGCAGAGAACCAGGGGCGAGAGAGAGAGAGAGAAAAACAAAAAAGAGAGACGGAGAGAGACGGAGACAGAAATAGGAGGAGGAGGAG